TATATATATATATCTATATATATATATAGATATATATATATAGATATATATATATACATATATCTTCGTTAAATCTTTGTCATTTTTATCAAATACAACATTAGCTGATTCTGTATATGCTTAATCCCAAGCTTTAAACATTTGAAGAAACTCTTTTCAATCCATTGTCTACAAGATAAAGAAGGATTCACTGTTCATGTAAATGAATGAATAAACTACTTTATTTTATGCAGTCCAGTAAGATTGCTCATTTAACACAAACAAACAATATCTATAATGTATTATATATCATGAAATCATATGGATAATTTCATTTTTATGTCTGAAAATTGCTATAAAGAAGTAAGTTGTGGGAGAATATGTGCAGGGTTTGGTTTAGCCATGTACGTAACTAGTTATGCCTTTTTGGAAGCACAATAGCCCTATTAGATCAAATCCAGTGGCATAAATCTATTTTAACTTGTGTTTTGAAGCACCAGATTTCTAAACCCTCCGATCTGGTACAACTCAGGCACCAGGATTGGGATGCAGCTCATAGTTAAACCTAATAACATGTTCTTTTACCCAACAGCTCAGTACTTTGCCAGCACAATGATGATTGTGGGAATGTCTGTGGTGGTAACTGTCATAGTCCTGCAGTTTCACCATCATGACCCTCATGGTGGCAAGATGCCCAAGTGGGTGAGTGTGTGGAGCAAACCTATACACCTAAGTCAATCCCTGTAGTATCAATAAAGTTAAATACGCTGATCCAGTATGTCTCTTCTCAGGTTCGTGTTGTTCTGTTGAACTGGTGTGCTTGGTTCCTCCGTATGAAACAACCTGGTGATGAGCGAAAGAGGCCCAAGCACAAGTACCGCCACGCCTCCCGGCATCACTCCAGCACCAGCTCCATTGAAATGGGCACGATGCCCAGTCTCACTGTGCCTCTGTCTCAGGCATCATGTCCACCTTGCCCAACAGCTGCCTCCAATGGCTCCATGAGTCTCTTCTTTGGCAATTACCACTCTATGGAGAGCCCACATTGCCCACCTTCTAGTGACTCTGGGCTTACACTAGGTGGACGCACTCATGGATCTCCAGGTGATGAGGCTGAGCCACCCGGGGGAGTTGGTGGTGGCGTTGGAAGTCTTGGGATAGGAGTTGGCATCCCCCCACCGGAGATCATGCGCATCTTGGAAGAGGTGTCCTATATTGCCCAGAGGTTTCGTGACCAGGACGAAGCAGAGGCCATCTGTAGTGAGTGGAAGTTTGCTGCTGCCGTAGTGGACCGGCTGTGTCTGGTGGCTTTCTCGCTCTTCTCCATAATTTGCACTTTCACCATCCTCATGTCAGCTCCTAACTTCATAGAGGCTGTTTCCAAAGACTTCACATAACTGGCTGCTGAAAGACAGAGAAAGAAGGAGGTGGATATAATCAGAAATCTGAGAAAGATTTTTAGGTGAAATCATAGTCAGTGAAAAATGTATTTCCAAACTTTCTTAGCAGCCACTTGTTTAGAAGTAGGCTTGTAGTGTTTCATTGGAAAATGAATATTTTCTTCAGAAACTTGTAAATAAATGTCATACAAAGCAACTTTTAAATAATGTAAATATGTAAACAACTAAGGAAATATGAACTAATTACAATTCTGTGATCAAAGAAATAACACCCTATATGTATTGATTTTTGATTTTGATTTTTATATCACTGATAACTTACAGAACGAGGATACAGTAGTTACAAAAACTGCACAGGGCTGAAAATATTACTGACACATGAACCTGCTAAGCAGATTAATTTGCATTCATACTATATTAAATATAAAGAATGGATCCTTAAGAGAAAAAGCCAGCTGATGCATGTTAACACAATTATTTGAGGATGAGGAAATGATAGAAAACTTAAGATAAAAGGCAGATTTGCTCCTAAAATAGCCTCAGTGAAAAAATACAGCATCTCCCCACTCACACAGTTTGATCACACTGAGGAAGATATTATGCAAGCATAAAAGGGGGAAGCCCTCTGATGTTGTCTAACATTGAAGTAAATTATTCCTAAAGCAAAATGTTTGGCTTTCCTTAACATCTGAGTTGTTTGCTTTGAGCAGATTCATGAATGAAATACCAGATACTGAGAGCTGCTCTGTAATTTTGGAGCAAGGAAAGAAAATTTAAAGAAAACAATCTGCACTGCTTGATTTGCAAAAAAGAATGACCATGGATGCCGCAAAATATTGCATTTATACATTCAGGGAGGGCCTCCTAATATTTTTACAAATATTTATTTCCTAAATAATTTAATTCTTTCTTGTGTTGAACTGTGGACCTCTGGCCTACAGATTGTTGGAGATTATCACTGCCTGGTCCTACATTGAAATAATTTTTTAAAAAAGATTCTAAGACATCATTACACCTTTGGTTCTCTGTCAACTACAACATCAATCTTGTATATTGGTTTGCTTTACACCCAAATGCAAACACTTAGCCCTAAACCTTAACCCTGGTAAAAAAAAAAAAAAAAAAAAATCTTTAAGGACCGGAAAAATTGCAGTAAAAAAAAAATCCTTTTAAAAATATTTTTTGATTGATTAAAATGTATTTTTTTACATAGTTATAACTTTGCACAGCTGTTTTCTGGAGAAAACAGCTGTGCAAAGTGTAACAGCTGTGTTTTGGAGAGTATGTTGGAAAATATAAATAGAACCATGTAAACCCGTTACAAAAAATACTAAGAGATAACAAGGAAGCATATTTTTTCCTTGAATGGTTTTCATCTTACGCTTGATTAAAAAATGTACACTGTACAGTAGTGATATCTACTAAGTTCCACCTCACTATTTCCTTCTGCTCCTTTCCTTTTATCTGGAAGCACACCCCAACAGTCTGAACCTACACCCAACTCATCCCTTTTAAAACTCTGAAAAAGGTAACTAAAATTAATCTTTATAATTATATAGATATTATATAGATCTAGTATAACAAAGGAATCAGATGGGGCTTTATTGGCCCTGTAAGTATAACTTCTAAGTGAATATATTAAGTTCTACTTTGTTTCATTTTATTTCTTCAAACAAGAATAATTTATAGTCTTGAAATACTGATGAATGAAGGAGGGCATGATGCATTCAGGGCTTTAACATTTATTGGCACCCACTGTGAATTTTTATTTGTAAAAAGGCCTCAGATCTCTCATTATGACATGTTTTAACAAGGTCCCCCAAACATTTTTATGATAAACGAGCCAACAAAGGCATGAGTTGCCTTTTTGACTTTTTCCCCCTTTGTTTTTAAACTCCTATTGGGTTTCTTAAAAAGTCTTTGTCTCATGTGACCAAAGTACACAGTTCCATTCAGAGCCACAGAACAGTTTACTCATTTTAACATTTTGATGTTGTGATTGTATAATGGACAAACTTTTTTTCCCCTGAACCCTAAACAAGCTGTTGGCATATAGATAATGCCTGCTGGTTATTATAGACTAATGTTGACAACAAAGAGGTTTCTCTTTGCTGCTGTTCTATAAGTGAGCTCTGGAGATTATTCACCCCTCACTAACTTGCATGGAGGCAAGACTCGTATAACTTCTTAACCATAAATGTGTCCCCTGGCTAAGAGTAATAGGTACCCACAAAAACACAAACTTGTAAATATAAATAATATTTAAGTTCCATTTGATTTAAAAGGGTTAAGAATTGCTACATGCGTATCATACTTATAAAAAAACTGACATTTCTCACTACATTTAAAGGAAGATTTGTGTACATGTGGTGGCGGGGGTGGTAACACATTTTTAACACAGTGCCAATAAATTTGGCTTTCAAAGTTTAATAGTAATTTACTAAAACTCCCTTTTTGTTTAGTATACTTTTGTGCTGTTATCCATTTTGATGCATTACTTGGATTCCTTTTTATATTTATTTAATGGGGATACAAATAACTTAAACCTTTGAAATGGTCTCTGATGTTGAGGTGCAATATGACTTTCGAATTTTAAATACAACCAACAATAACTCGGGGCTTAGCAGCAGACCAAAAGCTTACCACCATTTTACTAAAGGATATATTGTTTATTAAAAAAAAAAAAAAAAAAGCTCCAGTTTTTACAATTTATCTGTTTTGCAGATGGAGCTGGGGGAGTGAACATTTTTGATGTTACTAAATGTGTCTCAATCTTCCAGTTTTCATTGTGGTTGCAGTCTTTGGACTCTTCATCTCTGTCTTTCTGACCATTTTGACTGTTAATAAAAAGTATTTATTCTGTGTATAACAGGCTCTGCATGAGTGTCTATTACAGTTAAAATATGATAAATATTAAAACATAATTTCTACTTAAGTAGCGAGTAAATGTATTAGTTAGAAGATTGCTTGCTACTTTATCCAGTTTCAGGTCAATCAAACTAAAGATTCAGAGGTATCCTGAATTTCAAGTCAAATGGTAAGAAATCAGATTGTGCCCAGGCAGATAGAGGGAATTGAAAGAAAGAAGTTCAACTATCAGTCTAATGTCCAAAAAATTGCAAAGGGGCTCATTAGAGAAATATTTCATTTCTCCACCAGCATCCCAACTGAGAGATAATAAAACACTTTAACATGCATTTTACAACTGTTATCGCTATGATTTAAATCACAACATCTTTTGATACTTGAAATGTTTGTTGCCATTAACTCACATTAATTCTTCTTTTTTTTTTTTAAGAAAACTCTGTTTTGGATGATTATCCCTCAGCCAACTTCAGGAAAAGATGAAAATATTGCCATGAAATCTAAAATAGGCCAAACTAACTAAACACAATCCAAAATGAATATCTATGTAGGACATCATTTGATTGTTTTCTTTTAGTGAGAATGCTCTATATTTTTTTCTGCAAAACTATGGAAAACATCTTGGTAATGTTCTGTTCTCTAATGTTTAGTGGATTATTCTGTATCAGCAAAGCCCAGATTTCAGGCAATAAATCTTCTGTTAAAAAAAAACCCCCAAAACAATGAAACATAAACAACTGTTTCATTAAAAGGAATACTGCAGAAACTTACTGTTCAAAGAAGGCAGAATTTGTTTCTGGAGCATCAACCACATTCTTATCTGAACATAACCTATTTCCCCTGAACTCAACCATGACACTGTAATTCTCTCTGATGTTAAATTCATGCAAAAAAACAACAACTAATAAGACATCAGGGGCAAAGATTAGAGATAAAAACTCTTGATAAAACACCGCATACCAGAACCTTAATAGCCTTAAAGGTATAGCAGAGGATGTTCTTCTTCTGGGTGGATCATAAAAAATAAGTGGTCCTCCTAATTGTCAATCATTCTGGTGATATGTTTATGTAAGGCTGTCTTTTGCTCATCCCCAATTTCACTTACTGGTGGTGAGTCTGACATAGTGGAAAAATTGCATATCATCTTTTGGAAAGTAAGCTTGTATGAGTGATGTAAAGAGCAACTTTTAAACAGAACATGCACAAGGAGAAATGGGCTCCTGCATGCTCGCACACGTGTTTAATAGGTGTTCCCTCTCGTGAGTGGGAACAGGGGTATGCATGTGCATTTTCTTTGTTTTAAATGGAGAGGGGGCTGGCCTTTTTAAAAATTCGAGAAAAGCCTCCTCTTATCATTATGCTGTTTCAAGTTAAAAGGAAAGTTTAGCAAATGTGTTTAGTGTAAATAAATAACTTGGTAATAAATACCCAATTCCCACCCTTAAAAGCTCCCTTAATAATCAAATACCTTTGATAAAATTAATTGCAAATGTGAGCAAAATCCATCAACAAAAACGTATCTACATACACTAAGTATCATCCTAATGACATACTATGGTTTTTAAAACAAGAACTAATAATATCAGGTTAAAACTGCTCAAAGTTTTTAAACCAAGAACAATTGATGTAAACATTTCATCTGACGTTGAAGACATAACTGTTTGCCTTTGCTTTTCTATTACTTTTCATCAGCAAATGGAAGCAGATGGTATTGAGTTTAAATCTAAGTGTCAGGATGCATTATGCTTAAAGGTTAATGAAACATACTTCTGCATGCCAACAGAGCCACATTTACTCACTCACTGTGCACAGCAGAGCTTTGAGTGAAACCAGATTAAACTGTCAAACTGCTGAGCTCAGCACACATAATATAATCTCCACAAGGGATCAAAAGTTATGAACAAAAACAGACATTTTCCTTTTTTTCCCAAGCTGCTCCGATTAAGATATCATTCTTGGGTTTATGATTTATGTAGGTAAACTCTATTTAGGTGCAAATCATGGAGAGATGATTGAAGCTGCAGGGGGAAATGTGAAAAGGGCAGGAAAGTATTAAAATCTGTTTTAAAAGTTCAAAATGCAGCTCAGCCTTATTATCACCCAAGGTAGCACCTGACCCCTGTCTGCAGAATTGCTGAC